CAGAAGGGAGAACATATATCCTTTGACTTCTCAGCCTTCACGGCTGGAGTTTTCGAGTTTATAAATAGCACTTTTCACTCCACTCTCCATGCTAATTACAGGCATGTGCTTGCTTTAAGAACAGGTAAGTCAGAAAAGGTTATCACCTTAGGCCTTGTTGCTTCTCATGAGGGATGTTGATGGAAGGGGGCCAGTGTCCTTTTATCTTCAAGGTCTCGGAAGGTCCTGTGATTACTTATCTTGACTGTTAGGAGTCATAGGGGTCATAGTGGACCACAAGTTGAATATGAGTCAACAGTATGATGCTGTTGCAAAAAAAGCAAATATGATTCTAGGTTGTATCAACAGGTGTGTTGTAAGCAAAACTCGTGAAGTCATTCTGCCGCTCTACTCTGCACTAGTTAGGCCTCAGCTGGAGTACTGTGTCCAGTTCTGGGTGCCACATTTCAAGAAAGATGTGGAGAAATTGGAAAGGGTACAGAGAAGAGCGACAAGAATGATTAAAGGTTTAGAGAGCATGACCTATGAAGCCAGGCTTCATGAACTGGGCTTGTTTAGTTTGGAAAAAAGAAGATTAAGGGGGGACATGATAGCGGTTTTCAAATATCTAAAAGGGTGTCACAAAGAGGAAGGAGAAAATTTGTTCCTCTTGGTTTCTGAGGACAGGACAAGGAGTAATGGGCTTAAAGTGCAGCAGGGGAGGTTTAGATTGGACATTAGGAAAAAATTCCTAACTGTCAGGGTGGTCAAATATTGGAATAAATTGCCAAGGGAGGTGGTGGAATCTCCCTCTCTGGAGATATTTAAGAACAGGTTAGATAGACATCTGTCAGGGATGGTGTAGACGGAGCTTGATCCTGCCTTGAGGGCGGGGGGCTGGACACGATGACCTCTCGAGGTCCCTTCCAGTCCTATTATTCTATGATTCTATGATAACGCCCAAGGAGGACTGAAATCTTGCTCCCTTACCTATGTTGGCTGTAGCTCTTCAAGAGTAACAGGCATCATATTATGCTCTTATTAATCTGGCATAAGTATGACAGACGATCACCCCATGCAGATAACCCCTAAGTAAATAACATAGTCATCTCCAAGAGGCAACTCCAAACTTTTGAGAATGGAAAAGTCTTTTTGATGCAACTTCTTTGCCAGTGTAGGGGGAAATAACTTTAACATAAAGGTGTATGTTTTTGGTTGGTAGTCTTTAAATGCCTCTCACTCATTTCCAACTAGACTACATTAATGATCATTTAGGAATGAACGAAACCTACATGGCATCATGGCATTCAATTTGGAGAGGTGTGTGTAGAGAAAGTACCGTTGGTGGCGAGGTAAAATATACAGAGGACACCGATCTGTAACTGAAGGATGACACACTGAAGACTGCACATATAGCTTTCACCTTTTGAGTTTTGGTCATAAAAATTAAGACACTTAGAAGTAAAAAATATTATTTATGTAACATCTTTCAGCACTGCATTGATTTGCGTGCTTAATTTAAGGGCTGAGTTTGGAAGCAGAGAGAGCAGGGGACACTGCCCCCCTAGTCTTTTAAAAGAAGAATGAACAGTTCTTCCCTGTTCATGTTTTTGTTTCTTCAACAGGGAAGAGTGGGCAGGTCTAAGACAAACATGCTGAGCACATTCTGTCAGGAAGGACAGACAGGGAAAAAAGGGAGGAGGGGTTGCCTTGTATATTAAAAATGTACACACTTGGACTGAAGTGGAGATGAACGTAGGAGATAGCTGTGTAGAGAGTCTCTGGGTTAAGCTAAAAGGGGTAAAAAACGAGGGTGATATCATGCTAGGAGTCTACTACAGGCCACCTAGCCAGGTGGAAGAGGTGGATGAGGCCTTTTTTAAACAATTAACAAAACTATCCAAAGCCCAAGATTTGGTGGTGATGGGGGACTTCAACTATCCAGACATATGTTGGGAAACTAACACAGCGAGGCACAGGCTATCCAATAAGTTTCTGGACTGCATTGGAGACAACTTTCTGTTTCAGAAGGTTGAAAAAGCTACCAGAGGAGAAGCTGTTCTGGATTTGGTTTTAACAAATAGGGAGGAACTAGTTGAGAACTTGAAAGTGGAAGACAGTATAGGGGACAGTGATCATGAAATAATAGAGTTCATGATCTTAAGGAAAGGTAGAAGGGAGACCAGCACAATTGAGGTTATGGATTTCAGGAAGGCAGATTTTGATAAGCTCAGAGAACTTGTAGGTAAGGTCCCATGGGAAGCAAGACTGAAGGGAAAAACAACTGAGGAGAGTTGGAAGTATTTCAAAGGGACGTTGTTAAGGGCCCAAAAGCAAACAATTCCGCTGTGTAGGAAAGATAGAAAATATGGCAAAAGACCAGCTTGGCTTAACAAGGAGATCTTGCATGATCTCAAAATAAAAAAGGAGTCATATAAAAAATGGAAACTAGGACAACTAACAAAGGATGAATATAGGCAAGCAACACGGGAATGCAGGGGCAAGATTAGAAAGGCAAAGGCACAAAATGAGATCAAACTAGCTACAGGCATAAAGGGAAACAAGAAGACCTTTTATAAATACATTAAAAGCAAGAGGAAGACCAAGGACAGGGTAGGCCCACTGCTTAGTGAGGAGGGAGAAGCAGTAACAGGGAACTTGGAAATGGCGGAGATGCTCAATGACTTCTTTGTTTCGGTCTTCACCGAGAAGTCTGGAGGTGTGCCTAACGTAGTGAATACAAGCAGAGAGAGGGTAAGTTTAGAAGATAGGATACACAAAGAACAAGTTAAAAATCACTTAGGAAAGTTAGATGTCAGCAAGTCACCAGGTCCTGATGAAATGCATCCCAGGATACTCAAGGAGCTGATAGAGGAGGTATCTGAGCCTTTAGCTATGATCTTTGAAAAATCATGGCAGACAGGGGAGATTCCAGAAGACTGGAAAAGGGCAAATATTGTGCCCATCTATAAAAAGGGGAATAAGAACAACCCAGGAAATTATAGACCGGTCAGTTTAACGTCTGTCCCAGGGAAGATAATGGAGCAGGTAATTAAGGAAATCATATGCAAACACTTGGAAGGTAATAAAGTGATAGGGAATAGCCAGCATGGGTTTGTGAAGAACAAGTCATGCCAAACTAATCTGATAGCTTTCTTTGATAGGATAACGAGCCTTGTGGATAAGGGAGAAGCGGTGGATGTCATATACCTAGACTTTAGTAAGGCATTTGATACGGTCTCGCATGATATTCTTATTGATAAACTAGGCAAATATAACTTAGATAGGGCCACGATAAGGTGGGTGCATAATTGGCTGGATAACCGTAGTCAGAGAGTTGTTGTTAACGGTTCTAAATCCTGCTGGAAAGGGATAACAAGTGGAGTTCCTCAAGGGTCTGTTTTGGGACCCGTACTGTTCAATATCTTCATCAATGATGTAGATATTGGGATAGAGAGTACTCTTATTAAGTTTGCAGATGATACCAAACTGGGTGGGGTTGCAACTTCTTTGGAGGATAGGGACATAATTCAAAATGACCTTAGCAAGTTAGAGAAATGGTCAGAGGTAAACAGGATGAGGTTTAATAAGGAGAAATGCAGAGTGCTCCACTTAGGAAGGAACAATCAGTTCCATACATACAAGATGGGAAGCGACTGTCTAGGAAGGAGCATGGCGGAAAGGGATCTAGGGGTCATAGTGGACCACAAGTTGAATATGAGTCAACAGTGTGATGCTGTTGCCAAAAAAGCAAATATGATTCTAGGTTGTATCAACAGGTGTGTTGTAAGCAAAACTCGTGAAGTCATTCTGCCGCTCTACTCTGCACTAGTTAGGCCTCAGCTGGAGTACTGTGTCCAGTTCTGGGCGCCACATTTCAAGAAAGATGTGGAGAAATTGGAAAGGGTACAGAGAAGAGTGACAAGAATGATTAAAGGTCTAGAGAAGCCTATGAAGCCAGGCTTCATGAACTGGGCTTGTTTAGTTTGGAAAAAAGAAGATTAAGGGGGGACATGATAGTGGTTTTCAAATATCTAAAAGGGTGTCACAAGGAGGAAGGTGAAAATTTGTTCCTCTTGGTTTCTGAGGACAGGACAAGGAGTAATGGGCTTAAAGTGCAGCAGGGGAGGTTTAGATTGGACATTAGGAAAAAATTCCTAACTGTCAGGGTGGTCAAATATTGGAATAAATTGCCAAGGGAGGTGGTGGAATCTCCCTCTCTGGAGATATTTAAGAACAGGTTGGATAGACATCTGTCAGGGATGGTGTAGACGGAGCTTGGTCCTGCCTTGAGGGTGGGGGGCTGGACTCGATGACCTCTTGAGGTCCCTTCCAGTCCTATGATTCTATGATTTCAGCAGAAGCTGTCAGATCCCACTGAAGAGGTTAGAATCCGAGAATCTTGGGGTGGGCAGAGACCTCAGAAGGCATCAGGTGGCAAGCCGATCTGTTTCGGCACGGAAGATGAGACGCAAAGTCCAACGTTTGCCGTCGGAGGGGCGGTGCAGGAAAAGAAGCAGACAAGCGTTCTTGCATTTGGAAGTCGGCTCCGGGTAGATTTCCTTCCTCGGGGCTGGCTGGCTAATATGCTGGATGCGTGGGATAAGTTAATATGTTGGGGTCCCCTCTGTGTGCAGGGTTCGAATCCAGGGCCATCAGCACAAACACTGGCACGTTCCGCAACAGGGTCTCTTATTTGCTAGCCGGAAAACGCTGCTTCTAGCCCAGAGGGTTTCAAACTTTTTTTCTCGTTGCTCAGTTGAAGAAAACGGTGGGCACCGCGACCCAACAGAATGTGAGTGCAGGCTCCAGGGTGGGGCTGAGGATGGAGCTCTGGGGTACAGGAGGGGACTCCGGCTTTGGGGGGGCAGGGCTGGGGCAGGAGGGGCTGACCTGGAGCAGCTCCTGTGGGGGGGAGGCTAAGGCAGCTTCCTGCACTACAGACTAGGCTGCACCTCAGAAGCAAGTTCCCAGCCAATGAAATGCAGAAGAAACTTGGGGTCGAAAGGCTGAGCTATCTCCTGGCCGATGGAACTAGGAGTTTTTCATAGCGCACGGTAAAAGGAAGCAGGTTTTCATTTGTTCATTTTTCTACCAGGAAACTCAGAGGCAGCGAAGCATCGAATAGTGGAATTTGAGAGCTGGCAGCAGGCCCGAGACAAAGTGCAGTGGGAAGATGATAGAGGCAGATGAAACCTACAACGCAAGCCCGGCTGTATTTCAGTGCAACCTGCCAGTGTGTAGTCTCTGCTGTGTGTGCGCTACAAAGGATTCTAGTCCCAATGGCTCAGTATCCCACTGCACAGATGAGATCTCTCTCTGTCTTTCGCATTCATCTTTTTTCTGGAGCTGCCAAAAGAAATTGAAGGTGATTTAAACAAATACAGGTTCGACCTCTCTAATCCGGCACACTCGGGTCCTGCAATATCCATGGTCCGGAATGATTTGAGTGAGCCGGATGTCCACTTGTCATGGGTGTGGCCAACTTTCCTGCAGTCCCACAAAGTTTGTTTACGGCCAGCGGGCCTGATTCTCAGTGTTCTATATTGTGATTTAACTCTAATTTACCCCAACATGTTTTCTAAGAGCCCAGCAAGCAGTGGAAGTGTTGGTAATACTGCTAGACACTATTGACCTCCCATCGACCGGCGACTTCTCTGGTTCGGCATGTGCCGGACTAGAGAGGTTCAACTTGTCGCTTCCATTTAATTCTCAATATTCAAGGATCACGTTAAAAAATGAAGCCTGTAATCACCTTTAGCAATTGCTAGAATTAGTTGAGGAATTGCCTTCTAAATATCTAGGCTTTTTTTTTTTAATTAAAAAATGTAACATTTACATTTCCTGCTGGCCACAGATGTGCATTCGGGATCTTTTGTGCTGCTTGGAAGGGTTCACAAGACAGGTGAGACTTTATTCCGCTCCGTGTTGTGTATCTCACTGGGGATGGTGATAAACAAGAAATGAAACAGAGCCGTGTTGGTATGCAATCCATAACTCTAGGATTGCACCAGATTCTACAGACTTAATAACTGGTAAATAATTTCCTCAGCCCTTTTAATGATAGAAAATAGCAGAGAGCACATTCTCCTGTTCAGCAAGGAAGCTGCCCCTTGATTTAGGGAAATGAATTGTGAGACAAGGCAGCTTAGATGCTCTTCTACAAGATCAGCCTTCATCCAGTAAGGCATTTCTCTGTGTGTTCAATTCAAGAGGGCGAAGGAAGCATTTTAAAGGTGCCGTCTTGCATCAGGCTTGATATGATGAGGCTTTTATGTCTGGCCATTTCCCCCCTATTGTGATCATTTATAAGGAAACAAAAAATAAATGCTTGTAGAGATTTACTTGGAAAAATGCGAGACGGGTAACATTTCATCTAATTTCCCGCCTAGCTTCACCCTGTGACTTAATCAGCTTCTCCTGTCTGTGAGAATGTAGTGTCTTTCACCGTTCTCTCATTAATTTTCTACACGTAGAATTGTGATTGGCTGCTGGCTAGAAAACGAACTTTGCTAACACGCCCGGCTAACTTGGGTTCTGATTGTTTGGATACTCCCACGTGTCCTACGCAAGATCTCTTTTCATGTTCTGATTTTTATTTCTGGCTTTGCTGATTTCCCCAGTGCTGGAACCCATTTACGACACGAAGCTTAGCCCTGATCTACGCTAGGGAGTTATTTCGAAATAACTCCCCCTCGGTCAAATTTATAAGGGGGCTTCTTCGCTATCAAGCTCATTATTTCAAAATAGCAGGCTGCTTATTTCAAAATCTGCCCTTCTGCTTTCCTCGGGGAATAATGCTACTTTCGAAATAGTGGTCGTGAAGATGCACCAGTGCTGATATTTTGAAATAATGGCTCCCCAGAATAATTTGAAGTAAATACTCCCCCATCCACATTAACGGAGTCATTTTGCAGCTTCTCCATAGTGTGGCCAAACTATTTCAATTTTGTTATTTGGGGAAGTTATTAAATCAATTTTAGTTCTTTTGAAATAGTTTCCGAGTGCAGACGTGCCCTTAGAGAGTAAATCAGTGGGTGTCATTTCCTTAGTTTGCGCAAATTAAATGCAAACGTCTACATAACGGAAACTGCACGGTTGAGATTTTAAAAGCACGTAAGCGAGGCAACTCAGAGGCCGGGTTCCCGCAGCAACCATAATTCATCCATTTTATGTGTATGTAGTATTTTTCTCAGTGTATATGGTATTAACTTTAATGCCCCCCTGGTAGCAAGAAATCCATAATTTCCTGGCTTTTGTCTACCAAAAAGTATATGTTATTTTTTTTAAAAAGGGGGAAAGATGCCATTGTGTGTTGTGTGGGCAGAGTTAGAAACGCTCACTGTTGAATGAGACTGCGTATTAGAAATGACACGGCACTGTCTGAAATAGAAACCTCTGGCGTTGTGTGCTCCGGAAGCTGCAGCATGCCACGGAGAGCACAAAATTGGAAGTCAAAGGCTACTAGGTCGGAGCCAGGACAGGCCTTCCACACTCATGATCTTCCCACACATGGGAATATCACTGCTTCCTACATAAGAACATAGAACCATAGCACACTACACCAGGAAGGGATCTCGAGAGGTCATCGAGTCCCGTCCTCTACCCTCCCACTGGACCCAGCACCATCTCGATCATCCCATACCGGCGTCGGTCCAACCTCCTCTGCAATATCTCCAGGGATGGAGATTCCATAATCTCCCTGGGCAATTTATTCCAGTGTTTCACCACCCTGACAGGCAGGAAGTGTTTCCTAATGTCCAACCTAAACCTCCCTGGTTGCAGTTTAAGCCCATTGCTTCTTATCCTGTCCTCAGAGGCCAAGGGGAACAATTTTTCTCCCTCCTCCTTGGGACATCCTTGTAGGAACTTGAAAACCGTGATCATGTTCCCTCTCGATCCCTTTTCCAAACTAAACAAGCCCAATTCTTTCAGTCTGCCCTCCTAGCTCATGTTCTCTAGACCTTCCATCGTTTTTGTTGCTCTTCTCTGGACCTTCTCCAGTTTCTCCACGTCTTTCCTAAAATGTGGTGCCCAGAACTGGACGCACTCCTCCAACCGAGGCCTAATCAGTGCAGAGCAGAGCAGAAGAATGGCTCCTCGTGTCCTGCTCACAACACTCCTGTTCATGCAGCCCAGAATCAGGTTTGCTTTTTTTGCAACCATGTGGCTCTGTCGATTCATGTTTAACTTCTGGTCCACTATGACCCTAGATCCCTTTCTGCAGGACTCCTTCCTAGGCAGCTGCTCCCCATCCTGTATGTGTGACACGGATCGATCCTTCCCAAGTGGAGCACTTTGCATGTGACCTTATTAAACTTCATCCTCTTTACCTCAGACCATTTCTATAGCTTGTCCAGATCAGTTTGAATTTTTGAATTAACCAGAATGGCCGGGATGGGTCAGACCAATCGTCCATCAAGCCCAGTGTCCTGTCTGGGGGCCAATGCCAGGTGCCCCAAAGGGAATGAACAGAACAGGGAATCATCAAGTGATCCCTCCCCTGTTACCTATTTCCAGCCTCTGACGAACAGAGGCTAGGGACACCCTCCCGACCCATCCTGGTTAATAGCGAATGTTGGACCTACCCTCCAGGAATCTATCTAGCTCTTTTTTGAACCCTGTTCAAGTCCTGGTCTTCACAACATCCTCTGGCGAGGAGTTCCGCAGGTTGACTGTGCACTGCATGAAGAAAAACTTTGTTCTGTTTGTTTTAAACCTGCTGCCTATTCATAACATTGGGTGACCCCTTGTTCTTATGCTATGGGAACAAGTAAATAACGTTTCCTTCTTCACTTTCTCCACAGGGCTCATGATTTTATAGACCTCCCCTCCTTAGCCTCCTCTTTTCTAAGCTGAAAGTCCCAGTCTTTTTCATCTCCCTTCATATGGCAATACAGCCTCATCTCGTCAGCGGCCCTCAGAGAAGCCATGTATTGTAGTTTTGTGAATATCAGATTTTCAGTGGAACCATCAAACGTCAAACCAAATAACTTCTCCTGCTGACTTCGGACACCTCCATCTCTTCCGCATGCAGAATCCAAAGCAGCCAGCCTGGGATTGGAGTCCTGCTGACACTGTAGCTTTCGAACCAGGGTAGTAAAAACCTACATGTTTGATGCGTTCCGCTTTGATGATCTCTTTGAAGTCTTTGAAGGCATGCAGCACACCCTCAGAAGTCTCGTTCGAGGGCAGGACTTGGACACCTCCAATTCAAACCTTACTCACTTTCCCCTCATTTGCCAGGTTACTAAATCTCATATTTATTTTTAAAGGCATTGGATCAATTTTGCATTGTCTGTCTGCTAAGAACACCCGCTAAGCTTGCTGTTGGGATTAGCTCTGTCCTTCAGTCCCTGCTGATATTAGGAACTCCTGGGCCGGAAGCATTCTTCTCTTATGTCTTGGGAATCCTTTTGAGCTCATGAAGATGAAAGAATTCACAGTGCTAGCTAACAAAACCCATCCAGGTAAAGAATAAACAGCCGTCTGTGTGTGCTTCGTAGACGCTAGTGTCCAAGATTTCAGTGCGACAGCAAAATATTCCCCACTTCAAGAGTGAAAGGTAAAGTAGCTACTTGTAATTCCTGCTATAACAAGAGAAAAAAAGACTGCGAGCTATCCCAAATAGTGCTGAATTAGTTGATAAGGGTACACGAGGACAAATATTTCCCCTCTTTGCTGAGAAAAGCTTAGAAAAGAGGAGACTAATGGGGGATAGGAGAGAGGTCTGTGATCAGTGTGGAGAAAGTGAATAAGGACAAGTTATTTAGTTGTTCACATAACATAAGAACCAGGGGCCACCAAATGAAACTAGCAGGTTTAAAAGGACGTATTTCTTCACACAGTGCACAGACAACCTGTGGAACTCCTTGCCAGAAGATGTTGCAAAGAGCGGGACTTCAATAGCGTTAAAAAAAAAAAAAGGACTAGATAAAAGATTTTGCTTGTTTGTATTCAATCTGCTGCCTATAAATTTCACTGTGTGACTGCCTTGTGTACGGGAAGGAGTAAATAACATTTCCTTATTCAATTTGTCCACACCATTTATGATTTTATAGACTTCTCACATATCTCCCCCGCCCCCACACCTTTAGTCATCTCTTTTCCAAGCTGAGAAGTCCTGGTCTATTTAATCTCTCCTTATATGAAAGCTTTTCCTTACCCCTAATAATTTCTGTTGCCTTTCTCTGTGTACCTTCTTCAAATCCAATATCTGTTTTTTAAGATAGAGAGATGTGGGCATACCATGAATTTATATAGCGGCAACATGATATTTTCTGACTTATTATAGCTTTCTTTTTCAGGATAACTAGCTTTGTGGATAAGGAAAAAGTGGTAGGTGTGGCGTATCTAGATTTGAGTAAG